GACAATTGGACTGAGAATGGGATAAACGAACCATGGTTTCACAAAAAACCCTTCTCACAGAGTAGTTATTATCAGCATACACAAAACAGGCAAGGAAACTAGAGGCCTGAGTGAAATCAGTAATCTCACAAAAAATATGTTGGTCAGAGGCAGATAGCTGGTTGACCATACAAAAATTGGAGTCCCAAAAAACACAAATTCTACCAGTTTCATTAGGTTGTGAGTTTGACAAAAATGACCAATTCTTTAAACAAGAAGAGAAAATTTTCTTTTCATTTACAGCTTTTATTTTGGTCTCCAAAATACCCATGACTTTAATTTCTTCTTTAACCACAAAATTTTTTAACTCTCTATGTTTAGAAGGGTCATTCAACCCTCTAATATTCCAAGCAGCTATTTTAAAAGTCATAGAGAACAAAAGACAAAACAAAACCCACAACTAAGAAACTGAGAATTACCTCTTCTTTTTCCTCTGGCTACTGCTGCTCTTGCCAGAGGATTTACCTTTTGCTGGAATATTGGGTACAGGACTAGCCTTAGGACCACCAAGATTTGAATCCTTGAACTTCTGGACTTCCTCCAGCAATGCTGGGTCTTGAGGGATGATAAGGCTTATAACATCTGCCAAATTGCTCTTCATCTTTTGCAAGCCCTCAAAGTGGGGAACATCTTCCCCGGTGACAGCCGAAGAACCAGCAAGATTCTGAGAAGCAGCAGGCCTGTTGTCCTCTGCTACTGAGTCAGAAATTTTTCCTTGATCTGTAGAAGGCACTTCCCTATTCAACAGTAAATCCTCATCAGTAGCTTCAATTTGGTCAGGTAGGGAAACCTGATGATAAGGCATATAACATCTGCCAAATTGCTCTTCATCTTTTGCAAGCCCTCAAAGTAGGGAACATCTTCCCCGGTGACAGTCGAAGAACCAGCAAGATTCTAAGAAGCAGCCGGCCTGTTGTCCTCTGCTACTGAGCCAGAATTTTTTCCTTGAACTGTAGAAGGTACTTCCCTATTCAACAGTAAGTCCTCATCAGTAGCTTCAATTTGATCAGGTAGGGAAACCTCCCCTGGCGCTTCCTGTTCATTTGTTCCATGAGTACCCTGAGGAGTAGGGATTGCCTCATCTCCAGCACTAACTCCAACTTGTTTTTTCCCTTTAGCCATAATAGTGGTCCAGCCCGGCTCAGTAGGATTCTCTTCTGTTTCTTTCTGGAGAGATACCAGTTTGGCCACTTGAGTAGTAACACATCTAGTTATGTCATGGCCGAAAGCAACACAATGCTCACATTTAGCAAGAAGACCTTGGTATTCAACATTCACAACAACTGTTTCACCATCACAATTGACAGGGAATGAAGGTGGTTGTTTGGACGAAGCATCAACTTCCACACACACTCTGGCAAAAGCAACCCAACCCCCACTAGCCGTGAGTTGATCCGTAAACAAGGGGTTACCAACAGCACTAGCAATCCTACCAAGGCCATCATCATCCCAATATTCTAAAGGAATGTTATAGAACCTAACCCAGACTGGTACTTTAGTCACCTTATCCTTCGATAATTTCATCATTCGTTTCCATTTTTTCAAAATAATATTGAAGCCCCCAATGTACCAAGGACCTCCCTCCAGAACTTCAAAGCAACACTCAGGGTTATCAAAAATAAAGAAAATAAAACCCTCACCATTAGCTAAAACTTCTTTAAGACCCTTATTCTTCCACATGCTAAATGTACTATTCTTCATGTAGTTGAAGTTAACCCCTTTCCCTAAGAAGTAACCCACCAAACAGGAATCCCACTTTTGAAGGGGGTTAGGTTTAGGGGGCAAATCAACACTGATAAAGTCATCTTTAACAGTAGGAGGGAAGTACCTGAGGGAGACTTGCGATCTAGTAGACGAATTTGTGATTTCAGCCCACGATTTCCCCGAATGATTTCCAGATCCCCTACCTCCACCACGACCTCTGTTGCCTCTTCCTCCTCAAGTATTTGTACCTCCTCGAGTATTTGTACCTCCGCGATCTAGATTATCACCGAATGAGATATCCTCCCTTTGTTCTTCCTGACCCAGAAAGTCTTGTAGATTTTTCCTCACAGTGTCAGACGGCTGACCTGAATCAACCTCCATACCCTCACGAGATTTCCCATCACCTCTATTCCTTGCTATTTCCAGGCTATCTGGAAGCCTATGGAACACAGAAGGCTCATTCTCACTACGATCTGACCAGCGAGGAGTACCTGGAGTCGAAGGGGCTCCGATGGCCAGGTTAGGGTTTGACGATTTAAGCCTTTCAACCCGATCTACAATAGTCCGGGGATCAAAGGTCAGATGGGGGGTTACGAAGTCACGTTCTCCTTTGCGATTTACCATTTGATCCACCAGATGAGGACTATCTCCAGAGGCTTCTGCCATCTTTGATTCCTGTGGATCGTTCGAAATGACCCTTCCCTCGTTATGCTGAGTTGCCATATCTAGGGGGTTAACCCTACAATCAGATTGAGATTGGACCGAGTCACTACTATCCTGTCCAAGAACAGATACATGAGGATTGATCTCCGATGAATCCATAGCCTCACCACCAAGGATATCGTATTTGTTTTTAAGAAACCCTAGTTTATCACTCAAGATGTTTACGCCAAAGTCTGCCTTGCAGATTGTGTCAACACTTACAGAAGGTGAAACATTAATGGGACTAGCATTAACTCCTACCATCGTATTGAATAAGGTATTGAAACCCTAGAAACAGAGTTTCTAGAGAGATGCGGGAGCTTCTCACTCTAACCCATCGCTTGCGCCACTTAGGGTTGTGAAACAATTACTCACCTAAGCTAATTAGTTTCTAGGATAAAAGAGAGAAGGAGGCAGAAGGACGGAGAGGGTTACAGAGAAACTTTCCTTCTTGAGAGCTAGAAGAGAAGTCAGAGAAAAGAAAGAGAAATAGGAGGAAATTCGAAGAGAATTCAATTTCAATTTTTGTGAAATTGAGAATTGAATACCTTGGTTATTTAGAAAATCTTAAATGAGATAAGTTAAACTATTATCGTTAAGCTACAATTACTCCGAAAGTTCACTATCTTAGTGGCTAAGCAAGATTAGCTAGAGTTAAACTTGGCCACTTAAGCTTATGAAACAAATTGGTACCTAAGCTAATGAGTACGTAGAACAAAAGAGAGGAAGGAGAGGGACGGAGAAAGTTACAGAGAAACTTCCTTCTTCGGAGCTAGGAAAGAAAAAAAAAAGGTTAGTGCAAAGAAGGGGAAATATGAAGAAAATCAAAAGGAATTCAAATTCGTCCTTTCTGACTTGAGAATTGAACACTCAGTTGATTTAGAAAACCATAAATGAGGTACTTAACTTAAACGAGTATCGTTAAGTTACAATTGCTTAAGGTGTTTAGGACACTAAATGCAAATCAACAAATGGGTTAGAGAGAGAAGCTCCCATATCTCTCTAGAAACTCCTTGTTTCTAGGGTTTTCAATATCTCATTGAGTGATGATCGGAGTTAATGCTCTAACCAAATCTGAGTGCTCCCTTAGTGCACGTGTACGCAATACTGGAATGAATGTTTTAGGGTTGGTCAAACCCATTGAGGCTTTAGGTCCTGTGCAAAACTCGTTTGAAGTGTTGTCTGTGGAAAACATGGATCCATTGGTGGAGAGTCCTATGGATCGCGATCTTGAACCTGATCAAACTCTTGAGGCCTCGCGTGAAGGGGGAACCATGAGGCAAACGGATCCGAAGTTGGGATCTATGGTTACATCGGAAAAATTCCAAGAAGCTACAGAAGATACATCGAAGCACGAGTCTTCACGACCTCAGGGTGATGGAGATCGTGGGGTAGCGGGTTTGAAAATGGTAAATCAGAGTAGATCTATGGAATGGCCACTTAAGCTGATGAAACAGTTAGTTACCTAAGCTAATTAGTTTCTAGAACAAAAGAGAGAAAGAAGAAGATGGATAGAGAAAGATACAGATAAACTGTCTTCTTGAGAGCTAGAAGAGAAAGTTCTCGTATGCTCTTTTCTAGCTCTCGGGAGTTTTTGATCACTCCCCTGTGATTGTGCAACTTGGAGGTGAGGAAGCGAAGCTTAAGAAACCCTTCAAGTTTTTTGACTTCTGGGCTACCCACTGTGACTTCCTCCCCAGTGTGTATGGTGTTTGGAGGAAATACATTAGGGGTTCTCCCATGTTCAGGGTTTGTCAAAAGCTTAAAACTCTTAAGCCCATTCTTAAAGAGTTGAACAAAAAGGAATATAGTGAGATTTCCACTCGGGTTGGTGTTGCCAAGGATCATCTCCTTAATTCTCAAATCAAGCTTGATAAAGATCCTTTAAACTTAACTCTTCAAGAGACTGAGAGGGCTGCTTATGTGAAATATGTTGACCTTAGCAAAACTGAGGAGAGTCTTGCCCACCAAAAATCTCGAATCCAATGGTTAGGTTTAGGGGATAGGAATTCCAAGTTCTTCTTTAGAAATGTAAAGGGAAATGTGAATAAGGGGCGGATTCACAGTGTTGTGCTCCCTAATGGGGATAGAGTGACTAAAAGTGCTGAGGTTCACCAATCCTTTGTGGACTATTTCACAAATTTGTTTGGGAAACCTTTTGGTGATCAATATAATGGGTATGATAGGATTAGTAGCCTTATCACCAAAAGAGTGTCTGAGAGTCAATATCAAAACCTTGCAAGGGATGTGACTGAGAAAGAGATCATTGATGCATTCAAGTCCCTTAAAGCTAATAAAGCCCCTGGCCCCGATGGGTATTCTGCGGGTTTTTTTCTGAAATCCTGGGATATTGTGGGGAGAGAAGTTGTTGAAGCAATCAAATCGTTCTTTACATCGGGGGAGCTTCTTCAGGAATTAAATAGCACCACCATTGCTTTGATTCCGAAGATCCCCAATGCTGAAAAAAGTGGGGGATTTTAGACCTATCTCGTGCTGCAACACTTTGTATAAATGTATTTCGAAGATTATTGCGGATAGGATCAAAATTGTCCTTCATGATCTTATTGATCCTGTCCAATCAGCTTTTGTCCCTGGTATGGTGTGATGATGAAGCTGTCTTAATCCGTGTAGAATACCAAGGTCTTCCTGCTATATGCCAACACTGTCAGATTTTTGGGCATGAGATTGCTAAGTGTGTTTCAACCCAGGTTGCCCACTTGATCTCCTTACAAAAAAACACTGAGGAGCAAACTACGGAGTTGGTAGATGAGTGGACAACTGTTACAGCTAAAGGTAAAAGAAAGGTGGGAGAACCAGAACCAGTTCTCAGCCCCATCTTGGAGGAGGAAACAAATCCTATCAACATGATAGTGGAGTTGGCTCCTAACCCTGTGGTAGAGGAGGCTCCTCAACCTTACCAAGCAGTGGTGGATCTCTCAGAAGGTTCGGAGGAGATTAATGCAGTGATGGACCCGGCTAAAGAAATGGACAAGTTTACAGAAAAAGTTCTGGAAATCACGAAGCTGGTTATTCCTCAGACAGCTGAGCACATGGAGTCAGTGATCGCTGAAGTCAAGTTGGCAAGGGAAATAAAAAAAGCTTCTACTCACCAAGTAGCTAATCAGATGAGTGGTAAGTCCTCTGGCAAAGGTACTAGCAGCCAGAGGAGGAAGAAAAGGTAACCCAGGTTGTAGTTGGTTGTGGTTTGGCTTTTTGTCGAGTCTCGTTTTTTTTGTATCCCAATGACTGTCAAAATTGCTTTTTGGAATGTTAGAGGGTTGAATGACCCTTCTAAACATAAGGAAATTAAAAATTTGGTTCTCAATGAAAATATCAATGTCATGGGTGTTTTGGAGACTAAGATCAAACAAGTAAATGAAAATAAAATTTGTTCCAAGTGTTTTGGTGATTGGTCTTTTTTGTCTAACTCCCAACCAACTGTAACTGGTAGGGTGTGGGTGTGTTGGAATAATGTTATTTGTAATGTCCAATTGATCTCTATGTCTAACCAACATATTTTTTGCAAGATAACGGAGTTGGCTACAAATGATGTTTTTTTTGCAACTTTTGTTTATGCTGAAAATAAACACAATTTAAGACTTCCTCTTTTTGAGAGTTTGGCTCAGATCTCCCGGGCTAAATCCAAATCCCCCAGTATTTTTTTGGGTGATTTCAATGCTACTAGAATCCGTCAGGAAAAAGTGGAGGGGTCTTCAAACTGGTCTTCTGAGCATGAGGCGTTTAATACCTGCATAAATGAGTCTGAATTGGCTGAGCTTTCCTATGGGGGATGCCAGTTCACTTGGTCTAACAAAAGGTGTGGTGGTGAATACATAGCCACGAAAATTGATAGGGTGTTAATCAATGAGGCTTGGTTAGACAAATTTCCTGAGTCTACTGCCTTCTTTCTCCCTTCAGGGGTCTCTGATCACTCCCCTGCTATGGTCAACACATCTATTGCTAAGACCTCTTTCAAAAAACCTTTTAAGTTCTTTGATTGTTGGTCTAAACATCCGGAGTTTATCTCTACTGTGTCCTCCTCTTGGAATCAATATATTAGAGGTGTCCCTATGTTTCGAGTGTATCAAAAACTGAGGCAACTCAAGGTCAAACTCAAACTCCTAAACAAAAAGGACTTTAGCGATATATCGCTCCGTGTTCAAGCATCAAAGACCAATTTGGACCTTCTCCAATTTAAATTAGATAAGGACCCATTGAATTGTGTGCTTCAAGGTCAGGAGAGGGAGGAGCATAAGAAGTATTTAGATCTTAGACAGGTGGAAGAGAGTCTTGCCCTTCAGAAATCTAGAATCCAATGGCTCGGGCTTGGGGATAAGAATAGTAGCTTCTTTTTTAGAACTGTCAAAAGTAATATAAATAGGGGGAAGATTCTGAGTGTTGATATGGGTAATGGCCTTAGATCCACTGAAAGTGGTGACATTCACAGTGCTTTCATTCAGTACTTCACTAATCTTTTTGGTTCCCCTTTTGAGGATGAGTATCAAATCCCTAAGCGATAAAAGTTTCCTCCAAACCCAGGATGGATCACTGGGCATCTTAATACCCCAAAAACTCTTACCCTTAAGTAAGTAGGACTTAACCCATTGACACCACATTGAACATTCCCCACCCGAAAACAAATACCAAACATGTTTGGCTATAGCCGCTTTATTCCAAACCTCCATATCCTTAAAACCAAGCCCACCCTCATTTTTTTTTTTTTTTTGCGAACATGCTTCCAAGCAATTTTAGCACTATGCTTTTTCAGATCCGTCCCAGACCAAAGGAAAGATCTGAGCAGATTTTCAATGTCGCGGATAACCCTCTTAGGAAGAATAAAAATAGAAGACCAATAAACTTGCATCGAGAAGAGAATAGACTGAATGAGTTGGGCTCTACCAGCATAAGATAGCAATTTATTGGTCCAACTTTCAATCCTTTTAGTCATCCTATCAACCAAAATTTGGCAGTCAGACGCTTTGAGCTTAGTGGTGATCAGAGGCACACCCAAATATTTCACAGGGAGGGAGCCCTCAGTGAATTTGGCAATTTGTAAGATGTCAGCTCTAAGCTCATTACTACAGCCAGAGAAATAAATGTTACTCTTATTAGGATTAGGAGTGAGACCGGTCAAGTTCCTAAATTCCTCCAAACCTTGCATGATGAGATTGACAGTCCCCGGATCCCCTCTACAGAAGATCATAAGATCATCAGCAAAACACAAATTAACAATTTTAGTCTTCTCACATCTCCAATGGAACTTAAATAGGGGGTTTCTGGATTTTTCAGCAAGAATTCTAGCCAAAACCTCCATAGCCAACACAAAAAGATAAGGGGACATAGGGTCCCCTTGCCTAAGGCCCCTAGCCCCTTTAAAGTACCCATGAAGACTACCATTGATGCAAATAGAGAATGAAGGGCTAGTCATACAAGCATTGATCCAATTTATCATGCAAGGAGGAAAGTCCATAGCTGTGAGGATGTCAATAATAAACTCCCATCTCACAGTATCATAGGCTTTCATGATGTCCACTTTCATAGCGCACTTCGGAGTTTTGGAACTCCGGTGGTAACCCCTCATAATCTCTTGGGACAGAAAGATGTTGTCCGAGATTCTTCTACCCTGGACAAAAGCAGATTGCACAGGATCAATAAGATCAGGAAGCACCAATTTGACTCTATTGGCTATTATCTTGGCAATGCATTTATAGATGGTGTTGCAGCAAGAAATAGGCCTATAGTCACCAACATTCATAGGATTAGGAATTTTGGGAATAAGAGCAATGATGGTGCTATTGATCTCCGAGAGGAGTTTACCAGAGTCAAAAAATGACTTAATGGCAAGGGTAACCTCCTTCCCAACAATATCCCACGAGCTTTTGAAGAAACCAGCTGAATACCCATCAGGGCCAGGAGCTTTATTGGCTTTGAGAGACCAAAAAACCTCCTTGATTTCAGCATCCGAAATAGGTTTAGCCAAAAGAGCCGATTGAGAAATAGAAACCTTATTTTTCACCAACGATTTAATGCGCTCAAGACCATTGTAATCCCCCGAGATAGGGGTACCAAACAACTTGGTATAGAACTGGACAAAAGTATCATGAATATCAGTTATCTTAGTGGACTTAGTACCATCTTCCATAACCACACTCATGATTTTACCTCTATTAATATTACTCTTAACAGACCTAAAAAAGAAGCTGCTATTCCTATCCCCAAGACCAAGCCATTGGACTCTGGATTTTTGACGAGCAAGACACTCTTCCAAGTTGCTAAGGTCAATGTATCTTTTCAGCTCCTCTCTCTCCTTAGATTGAAGCTCACAGTTCAAAGGATCCTTATCAAGGTTAATTTGAGCAAGATCCAAACTAGCCTTAGAGATGAGGACACGAGTGGACAAATCACTGAAATCTTTTTTATTAAGAAGCTTAAGGCTGGCTCTGAGTTGTCTTAACTTCTGACAAACTCTGAACATAGGGACACCACGAATATATTGAGACCAGGTATCTGAAACAGTGCTAAGAAAATCTGGGTGATGGGACCAGAAGTCAAAATATTTGAAAGGTTTCTTAAAGGAGCTACTGTCATCACTGATGTTGACCACAACAGATGAGTGATCAGAAATACCAGCCGGGAGAAAAGTAGCCGTAGACTCAGGAAACTTATCCAGCCAGGCCTCATTAACCAGAACTCTGTCAATCTTGGTGGCTATAAAAGCTCCCTCACTTCTTTTATTCGCCCATGTGAATTGGCATCCACCATAAGATAGATCAGCCAATTCAGATGCGTTAATATAAGTGTTAAACTCCTCATTTTCAGAAGTCCAGGAGATAGAAGCTTTTTCTTGAAAGCTAGATGAGAAAGTTGGAGCAAAGAAAGGGAGATTGTAGTTGTGTAAATTTTCTTGTTTTATTTATTTCTTATTCACCACCCCCCCCCCCCTTATTCACCCGCCCCCCCAAAAAAAAAACAAAAGAAAAAGAGAAGAGAAAGTTAGAGAAAAGAAAGAAAATTGGGATGAAAATCAGAGGGAATTCAAATTCATCCTGTTGGACTTGAGAATCGAACACTATGCTGATTTAGAAAAACTTAGATGAGGTACTTTAGTTAAACTAATATCGTTATGCTATAATTACTCAGAAAATTCTCTTTCTTAGAGGCTAAACAAGGTTAGTTTTAGTTAAACTTGGCCACTTAAGCTAATGAAACAATTAACGGCCTAAGCTCTTTAGTTTCTGGAACAGAATAGAGAAGGAAGGAGAAAGACGGAGAAAGTCAGAGAGGAACATTCCTTCTTTTTTTTTTTTTTTTTTTTTGGGGGGGTTTTTTTTTGGGTGGGTAAGTCATAAAATTAAAGACAAAAATTACACGTTTACAAGGGGCATACCCCAGGTAAAACAACAAATCTGCATCCCCCCAAAAGGGGTTACTAAAACAAATAACTATTTAAAAACAAATAAAACCGAAATAAAACTAAAATTGTCCATTTATCAGATTTTATCCCCAAGTACCTACTACTATCATCAAAAGATAATAGATGAATACTTGGGGGAAGATATATGGACAATTTATACAAAAGAAATTCAGTAAACAACTAGACACGTCACAGCTCACCGTGACTAAAACAACCAAATTAATAACAAAACAACCAAATTAACAACAAAACTAAACCACGGCTAATTCAAAACCACAACAGTGGCCAAATAAGCCCACGTGGCCTTACAAGCAAAACTTTACATATACAAATTGTACATGTACACCAAGCTGACCAGCCACCAAAATCAGAAGCCAACCTACCACCTGTAACTGTCTCCCTCATACCCACGTGCTTTCCTTGATCAGAACAACAATATTGGGACAAGGGATTGCACATTGAAACACGCGATGCACCACACGTTCAACCACGCACGTGGGAGGCCGTGAGGCACACGCCCAACAAAAATTCACCATGGCCTTCGCTGGTGTAGCAGCAACGCCAACAAATTCTGAAACCATAGCACCGGTGCCGGAAAAGATACACTGAGAAAACAAAACTCAGCGTTGGAATCCAAGGCCAAACCAATGCCACGGGTAAACTGGGAAAACCCAGCACCTTAGCAACAATGCAACTTCACGAAGTCCAGTGGATGTTAAGTCACACCCAGGCTACAACATCATCACCGGCGATAGCGGCTGAAAAGAACCAGCTACCGAAGGTGTATAACAGTCAAAGTTGGGAAACAAAGAGCATCAGCAACCCAAACCTGGAGCATCACCAACAGCTCCGGAAATGGCAAAACCAGACTAAGCTGGAGAAGACCGACAAGAACGAGCACGCTGTTGTATAAACCAAGCACACCAACCACGGAGAAACGTCCAGCACTTATCGAAGGCATTTTTAGACCTCTCCTTTCAGCAACTAGGTTACTCAAGCACAGGAACCACCGACTGTCAAGGAACCCACCAAACAGTGGCCAAACTCCAAATTAGGCTCAACCCATGGACGATTTGACCAACGGGGGTGACAAATGATAGTCATGGCTAAACCGAAACTCAAGAGACCATGGAAACCGAAGTAAGATTGGACAAGAATGCCTTTCAAAAACGACCAGAGAACTCCAAACAAATATAAAAATACAAACAAAGTCAGCAACACCCCGAACCGGGGCTTACCAGACCTGAACCAAACTCACTCATCCTCAGAAACGCAGGTAGAGGAGCTAAACAAGTTGGTCGGAACAGCACCAGTCCATTACCACCATGATACCACCATGAACATTCCTTCTTGAGATCTAGAAGAGAAAGATTGAAAAAAAAAGAAAGAGAAATATGAAGAAAATCAAAAGGAACTCAAGTTCAACATTTTGGATTTGAGAATTGAATGCTTATATTCACCCAAAAAAATTGAACGCTTAGGTGATTTAGATACCTTAAATGAGGTGCTTAAGTTGAACTAATTTCCTTAAGCTGCAATGACTCATAAAATTCTCTTTGAGAAACGTTCTTCTTGAGATGTAGAAGAGAAGGTTAGAGAAAAGGAAGAGAAATAGGAGGAAAATCGAAGAGAAATCAAACCCATCCATTTGGACTTGAGAATTGAACACGTAGGAGACTTAGAAAACCTTAAATAGGGTGCTTAAATTAAACTAATATGGTTAAGCTACGATTACTCATAAAATTCTCTTTCTTAGACGATATGCATGGTTAGTTTGAGTTAAACCTGGCCACTTAAGCTAATGAAACAATTATTGGCCAAAGCTAATTAGTTCGTAGGACAAAATCGAGAAGGATGGAGAAAGTTTTGGAGAAACATTCTTCTTGACAGGTAGATGAGAAGTTGGAGAAAAGAAAGAGAAATAGGAAGAAAATCAAAGGGATTTCAAATTCTTCCTTGCGGACTTGCGAATTGAACACGTAGGTGATTTGGAAATCCTTAAATGAGGTTCTTAACTTAAACTAACATCGTTAAACTAAAATTACTTAGAAAATTCTTTTTCTTACAAGCTAAGCAAGGATAGTTTCAGTTAAACCTGGCCGCTTG